CCTAAACCCTAAACCCCAAAAGGGGCTATGAATCTTCCCAGGGCACCATTCGCATGGGTGCTTTTGGCTGGCTCTCAACTTTAGCAGCAAAGATATCATCACCTCCAGCCAGGGTTTTGGGTTTTGGGTGTCGGGTTTGGGGGTTTAGGGTTTGGGGGTTTTGGGTTTAGGGTGTGGGGTTTGGGGGTTTAGGGTTTGGGGGTTTGGGGGTGTTGGGTTTTGGGCTTGGGGTTAAGGAGTTTTGGGTTTGGGGGCTTAGGGTTTAGGGTTTGGGGTTAAGGGGTTTAGGGGTTTTGGGTTTTGGGTTTGGGGTTAGGGGGTTTAGGGTTTGGGGGTTTAGGGTTTAGGGTTAAGGGGTTTAGGGGTTCGGGGTTTAGGGTTTAAGGGTTTGCTGTGGATGGCGTAATCTTCTATATCTCTAACAATGAATGCCCATGGCGCCAACCACACCAGATTCCAAACCCCAAGACCCGGAACACTAAACCCCAGATGGTAAGCCACACGCATGGCTGCTTGATGTTATGAATTTCGGAACCTCTACCTAAGCCAAACCCTAAACCGAAAACACTAAACAGAACCTGGTCTGTTTTTGGATCCCTGATATAATACGGCACCTAACATCTAGGGTACCCGAAAAGGGGACCATAATTTTGACAACTACCCATGTAAACCATCATGTAAGATGAGGTCGGGGTGAGGTTGTTGAACTCAGGCCCTCCTGCCAGGCGGTGAAGATAAATATGCCTTCGCTGCAGTCGCTGATACCTGCCATCTTTGCCATCAGCCTGAATGTCCATGGCGCCGGCTACACCAGCATCCTAGAATTCTAGACTCTCTTATAAGACGGGGCCACGCAAGCCCATGAATTCTAGCCCTGTTTCTGACCTAGACAGAGTTCTGGCTTGGAGCCCATCCCAGCTTATGGGATTGTAGGACCTTGCTGCGTTCTTGAGAGAGCCTTCTGAGGTTCATCACATGCTTTGGGCCTTCTACGGGCCGAGATTGCTTGCTGCAGAGGGAAAGAATCATCTCTGGCTGCCGTTCTTGGACGTGGCGCACACCTGAGCAGCTAGTTGTTTAATCCTTGCTTGTCCGGGGGTTTCCCAAAATCAGGGGTCCCCATGACAAGGGCTTATAGTACATAGGGGTCTATATTGGAGTCCCCCTTTAAAAGGGAAACTACCATCTGAAGCTGCAGCTAAAAGTATGCACAAACCTCCATGTAGGCTTTTCTCAAAATTATGGGCCCCGTTTGGTTTTGGATTAGATTTCGGCACCTTCTATTTAGGGGTACCGAAATGGGACCGAATTTTGGTAACTACCCATGTCACCACAGAGCATAGCAACGAGGCAGGCAAGGGCCGCTCTTTTCATCCTCTTGGCGTGCTTACGCGGGTCTAGTGTTCTGCTCAGCAGAACTGGACATGGGAATGCCTACCTACTAACCCTACACCCTAAACCGTAAATCCTGACCCCATATCCTAAATCCTAAACCTTAAACCCTAAACCTTAGTAAGGGGTAGGTTCCCCCCCTCCAAGCATGATCTTTCGAATTGGCTTTCCTTCCCTGTTCAAGCCTGCGCTGGGTTTGGGCTCTTCCTGTTTGGGTTGCTCCTCCAGCAGATTGACCTGAGGCCTGCAGGAAGCGCAGCAGTGCAGGAGTGGCTTGCGCGGTTTAGGGTTGAGGGTTTAGGGTTGAATAGTGGTTGAAGTACGTAAGATAAGTTTGTTTTAAGGAGGTATGATGTTACTCTGTGTTGTGGACTGCAGTATTCTCATTCAACATACCACTCTCCTGATGCAAGGAACATTGTGGATGCCCCAAGTTTCTTAAAAGGATATTCAAAACAGCAGCAGCAACAATACTCATAATTGCAGCAGCAGTAGCAGCAGCAGCAACAACAATGGTCATTGCTTGGTGTCCGTAAAAGAGGAGTCATTACCTGAGAGTTTGAGCCAAATATTGGCAACAAGCAGAGGAAGATTGCAGAAGATGAGGGCAACGATGGCGCGATGCAGAAGCCTAAATTTGCGATATAACTATCAATATTACGGTCGCAAATACCCTGTCAATTCCTGTGCGCAGCGGTGGAACTGCCTGTAAGAGGTAGCGACGAAGCCAATGATGATCGACAGTACCACAAAGACACCGGCCACAGTTGCAAGGCCCATGCTCTCTTCCTGGATAGAGGGGATTCAAGGTTGGGGTTTAAGGGATTTGGGCTTCAATGATTAGGGGGTTTAGGGTTTTAAGGTCTGGGGCCTTAGGATATCTGAGATTACGGAGTACGGCGTCTGCCTTAAGGAGGGAATGGCTGTGTCCCAAGGAAGCGAACCTTGGAATGCTAAGCATGTATGTGTATATCATGTATATATATATATTATACACATATGTGGTAGTTTCCCTAAGTTGGGGGGCCCTTATATGTAAACCCCATTTACTCCTGATCATGGGGACCCCCAAAATGGTTCTCTTTTTCTTCAGAAACCCCAAGTAGGGATTATGAAGGATCACAGGTGTCCCTATGTGGAATGCTACGAGCACCTATACGGAGGGCTACGAGATGATGCTGCGAAAATCCCATGCATGTAATACGGTGCTTCACTATGCGAATTGCTACAAATCAGCAGGCTATTTTGGGGAGTCCCCTTGATAGAGAAGATGGTGTGTTGAGCTTATATAAGTTGACTCTATGTATGGAAGCCCCATATGTATGGCTGCATAGGTGCGACTATTGGGTGAGTGTAACGCATGCTCCAAGAGAAGCAAGAAATAAGAGATCGCCCGTGGCGCAAGTTCGTATGTGAATCTCACATATTTCTCTAAATTCAGGGCGCTCTTTGGATGGAAGCCGCAAGTACAACATGCGTCATTCCATCACATGTCGCTAAACCTACAGGCATTAGAACCCTAAACTAGGCCACAAAGACGGCAATCCAGAACATGCCCTAAGCTATACCTGCCTATGTGTTTCCAAGTACAGGCCCTGGACCCTCAACCCTTAACAAAGCTAGGTATAGTACGATACACACGTCCTATCAAAACATGGCACAAGCGATATGCCCAGAAACAAAGAAGACCATACGTTTGACAAACTCAGGCCAATCCTTCTTGTGCTTATCCAGCTTAAACCCCACAACCTAAACCCTTCCTTCTTGTACTTCTCCAGCTTGAAGAGTGGTGTTTCCATCGCATACTCCCCAGAGGGCGCGAACTCCGGAAATTCTGCGCATGCGCAGGAGCTTCCACTTACTGCCGGGACCTACCTGATTAGAATAGGGTTTTGGGTTCCATGCTACTGTAACGATCAAAAATCAGGATAGCCACTCCGACCCCAACCGCCTAATGTTGAATTGTCTCATTATGGTGTACTAGGTGTACTAGTGTTAGTACTAGTTAGTAGTACTAGTGGTAGTGGTGGTAGTAGTAGTAGTAGTAGTAGTAATAGTAGTCGTAGTAGCAACAGTAATAGTAATTGTGCAGCAGCAGCAGGAGTAGTAATAATAGTAGTAGTCGTCGTCACAATAAGAGATAATAGTACGTAGTAGCATTGGTATGCATACACATATACCCTCATGATGGCGAGTTCGCTCCCAGTAGTCAACCACAGCATCTTTAAGTCGTGCTGCTCCAGCCTGCAAAGCCTTGTTGGTACTTGTATGCTCCCATCTTGGGCCTTTAGGTCCACACCTTTAACCTGCATAATACAAAGAGTATGCCGGCCTACTGGTTTAACTCTGATGCAGACGCACATAAATTAATTCAGAGACGTCTACAACGAAAGCTACCAAATTGCAGTTGATTCAAGGCACCAATAAGATACTTTCGTACTGAACCTCGCCCCCTGGCCATGCCTTATACCCTCAGCGCCTGAGCCCCAGACTCAACGTCAAGGTCCCAAGCGCCTAGGACCTAGGATGCCCAGTAACCTTGGATTCATAAGGGCACCCTTTTTACTCGTTTTAGAATGAACCTATGACCCCCCCAAATGGGGGCAATGTGGCTTACCAGGAAACCAAGATGTACAGCGAGCCTGGCTCCTTTGTTGGTTGGTTTCCGGGTGTTCGCTGCGCTGGTCGGGCTACCTGAATACAAATCTTCAGGGTTTAGGGTGTTTTGGGGATCAGGGGTTCAGGGATTTCAGGGTTGTACCCTGAAGGTTGTACCCTTGCGTTCAAGGGATCCTTGTTACAGAGCCCCAGAAAAGTATCTGTACGTATAGACTTCTGAGGGTACCACCTTGAACGCACAACCCCCCAAGTCTTTTCAAGTCTAGATTGCTGCTTGGGCAGTGCTATGCAGTAGGATTGGTTTGTAATGTGATTCGTTTAAAACAAATACTAGGTAGGCGCTGAAAAGTCGAGATGGCGGCCTCAATCACAGGGTTGGGCAGCAAGTAAAAAAAAGGACGAAATCTCTTGATATAGCGGCCTGCAAGAAGGACCCGTATTCTTGAGAAACACCCCTTGAGAGGGACCGTGATTGTCCAATTGTGGGGGAATATCTATTATGCTCGACATTATGGGCCCTTTTGTTAGCACCGATCATTGCACGTCCCCTCGTATTTTGGGTGCAACAACACATGGGCTGTGGACCCTGCACCTATACGGCGAAGCGTCTGAGGTCTGTCGATAAAAGAAACCCTAAGGGTCCAAGTACCTAATAATCATATACTTAGACAAAACCTGTACTATAATTACTATTACCCAAATTCCAAGTACCTAATTATTGGGTACATGGACCCTTAAGGAAATACAAAGCAACTCCGCTGCAATCCCTCTAGAAATTTACTGGAATCTACCCAGCACCTTGTCCTGCCGATTCCTGCATCCATACTATGTGTGACCATCCCATTCCGAAGTAGCACATGGCCCCTACGCCCTACGCACCCTGAAAGCCGCCCCACCACTTAAACTTTAGACGGGCGTCAGGGATGAAGGCCTGAACCCTGAACCCTAAACCCTAAACCCTCAGCCCCAAATCCTAAATCCTAAGCCCTATACCCTAAGCCCTGAACCCTAAACCAATTAAACGTCCCGAGGGTGCCTTCATTTCCCCAACCCCGAATCCCATGTCCAACATCGCACTCCCACAGCTGAGTCCCAGACTCCGAACCCCTAAACCGTATCTTACTGGGCCTTAGTAGGGAATAAGGAAATATATGACATAATACGTAGGAATAATGTAGGATGTAGGGATCATATTCCCTATTTCCCTACTATCAACCAGTAACAGTGGAGAATCAAATGGCAAAGAAATAGGAAAATTACATGAACATCGTGTTGATTCCTTGGTTTTAGGACTGAGGGTTGTTGTTTGTGATTCCTGGCAAGCGTATATAGGGATCATCAGGAATATTGGTGTTATTCAGAGTCCAGTTTGGGCGACCATAAGTTCAATTCCCACCATAAAACGCGGACCTTTAAAGCAAATATATAGCTCCCCTTAAGTAGATAGAATATGGCTTTTGGGTATATTATAATAAGATCCTCCCTATTCTATCTACTTAAGGGGGACTACAATTTCTCAAACTCTAAACATCTGCTCATCTGAAATGGTGGAGAAATTGGAGCCGCTACCTCCCTAAACCCTAAACCCTAAACCCTAAACCCCCTAACTCCCCTAAACCCCCTAAACCCTAAACCCTGACCTACCCCCCCCCCCGGCTCCAGGCTCTCAGGCCAGACCACCCTAAATCTGCCAACTCTCAACCTCTGAGCCCTGAACCCCCCCACAATCTAAGCCGCTAAAGGATTTAGGGTTTAGGGTTTAGGGTGTAAGGTTTAGGGGGTGTAGGGTTTAGGGGGTTCAGGGGGTTTAGGGGGTTTAGGGTTTAGGGGGTTCAGGGGGTTCAGGGGGTTTAGGGTTTAGGTCTTTTTTTTTAAGCGCTCTTTTCGACCATCCATGCGGGCGAAGGCCGATATTGGCCGAGCGGAAGCTGAGCTGACTCCAACT